CATGCTTATTCAGTGTTTTATGCGATTCACGGGATGATTATCTCATGGTTCTTCTGTTGGCTTAATAATACTTTCAAGTAGAATCTGATCGAACAAATCAGTCTTTGAAAGAAGCGTTCAGGAGAAAGACACTGGGGATTTATTTCTTCTTCAGACACCCAAAAATTGAATGCTATTTTCCTAGCCATTCATCTTCCTTTCTTGAAAGTTTTCATTCTTCAGCTTCCTTTGCATATAACTTCGGCTTTCAGAAAGTTTTCTTAATTTCTGTTCACATTCGGGCTTGTACTAATAAGCTATTATTATTATTTTTATTAGTGAAGAGACACGAATACTCTGGATTATCGACGAGAAGACTCTAGAAGATCTGCATTTCGCAGATGATATATGTCTAATGTCGCACAAACTGGAAGACTTGCAGGGGAAAACCGATGAACTGGCTGAAGAGGCTGGCAGCGAAGAAACGACTGTAGGTGAACATAGAGAAGACGGAAGTGAAGAAGATAACCAACCAACAGCATCAACAATAACCAGCACCAATCACTATCAACGGGAGAGATTTAACAGAGGTTACTTCCTTCACTTTTCTGGGAAGCATCGTATCAACCACAGCCATACGGCACAGGTGAAGATGTCCAAGTAAGTCAGAACCAGAAAGGCAAGGTAAACCTTCATCAACCTGTAATCAGTTTGCAAATCTTCTGCACTCCACCACCATAAAGAACAAGAATCGGATTTTCAACACCAATTTCAAGTCGATCCTTCTATACGAGTCAGAAACTTACACTGCATATCACGGAAAGGATTTCCAAAGTATAGAGATTTTTGTTAACAACTGCGTTCGCTCCATGCTGAAGATCAAATGGTGAACTAGGAAGAATTAATAACAAGAAGCTCCGGCAACAAACTAACAAGAGCCAATCGCTCAACAAATATGTAGGAGAAAATGGAGATGAATCGGACATACATTGAGGAAACTGTCGAATGAGATCGCGCTCAATGCAGGTCATTGCTCCCAATCCCAATGGAAAACGACGAGTATTACATGGAGGAGATGGTGTGGGGAGGAGGAAATGAGAGATTATGGGGAGTTGTGGACCCAGCTGGAGAGGATAGCAGAAAACAGAAGAAAGTGGAGATGTGTTGTTGAAGCCTAAAGTTCCACTCGGAACCCAAGGGAATAATAATAATTATTATTATTGTTGCGCCTTGTACTATTCCCTATCAACAATCTGAAAAAGTGGTTAAATCATTCTAGGATAGTCACCTAATACTATTTTTGCTTGATAAATATCATATCTTTTCCTTGTTCGGACACCAGAATGAAATTACCAACCTCCCTTTTCCGATGTATTATTTCTACCTGGCTCATCACATTGTTGAAGAGCCCCAAACCAAGATAAAGCAGCTTACTTTTGGTTTTCCGATGTTTAACACTCGTTTTACAATAATGCTCCACTTATCACCACAACTATGACATGCCTCTTCCCATCATGCCCAAAATTAGAGTGATTTTATTTTAATTTCTATACATCCATTGTCTGATGTATAAAGTAGAAATAAATATTCTTTAGTTTACAACACTCTGTAGTCTTATACTGTGAAAATATTTGAGACTTTGAAGTTATGTTCTCTTGTAGCCCAATAATATTTTATGATAAGTGATTAAATTTTGGTCCTGATGATATACTACCGTCAAAGAACAACAGTCTGAAATTATTCAGACAAGTATTTTTTGAAATTCTATTAATTTCTTAAATTAAGATTGGTCTTCCAAGTACAAAAAACACGTAATTCAATAATAAAATTGAGGAGAAATGTATTGGCTGTTATGACGAATAAACAGGTTATTAAAGGTTTTCATTAACGACTAATTTAGTAATTTCAGTAGTAATTACTAAAGATGTTGATGTGTTAGTGAGCAGATGTTTTGTTTATTCAAATTCATAATAGGCATTATTCAGTGCGATTTGATTGTGATGACATTCTAGGCTGAGAGATGAGAGATACGAAGTATCAGAATATTATTAGAAGTTTTTACAGGCAGATAATACCAGCTGGGAGAATACTTTGTGGGACATTCACTTTTTTAATACAAATCCATTATTTTTTAAATTTATTTTTTCCTTCAGGTTTCCCCAGTGGAACATAGGGCTTCAAGCTAGTGGCTTGAAGTTTCTGTAGCAGTGCTTATTTTACAGGATAACGTTGCTAGCCTCATGCCCAACCTTTCCTCTTCACCAGCATTATTTCTGGCTTAGCGAGGTAAAGGAGTGCGTCGGCTGAGGATCGAGCCCCGGACCATGTGCATGATCAAATTCATTATAATCCTAATTAATATTAAATTATTGTGCTAACTTTGAACAAAAGATATTCATTTGCAAAATGTGCAAACAAATTCTCAAAGGAGATAGTTTAGACTAGAAACACACTTCTGAACAAGATATCATTGTGTTTAAGTCCTTACTTCGTCAGGTCTGCTACTAGTTGTGATCAAATATTTTGTGTCTGTTCAAAAAAATATTCTGGATATGATGTTTTAATTTTTTCTGGGCTTTAGAGTCGCGATGGCGATGAGGTCATTTTTACAAGGTAGGGTTACTAGTTCGATGCCCAGCGTAGGACCAGCGAGTGAATTAGGCGATGTTACACCAGAAAGTCCTAGGTAGCTGTCTCGTCGTAATTTGAGAATCTTCGGCAGTACGCTCCCAGACTACGTAGTCAGTCTATGAACCATTCAGCCACAGAGACAAATATGGAGAAGAAAATAGACAGGGATTGGGAAAACGCTGTAGAGAAATCAACTGACATCGCACCTCAAGTAGGCTATTGCGATGAACCCTAGTGGGAAGCGACGAGTTAGGTGACTGAGTGTTACATGGGTGATGTCGTGTGAACAGCAAATAAAAGCTTGTAGGTAATCTTGCGGTCAGCTAAAAAAGGATGGTGGGGAATATAGCGCGGCAGAGATGTGCTGCCAAAGCCCTGTTGTTACACTCGGAAAGCAAGGAACGAGTAATTAAGTAATAATAATAATGGTCTTTTAAGAAAAAATCCAGAGTACTTTGCAGCTTGATTTGACATTGGTGTACAAGGCACAACTGCTCACTCGCCTTCTCCACCCTTTATTTTTAAGTATATACAAGTATAAACGATAAAATCCCAAACTAAATACCCAAAGAGTTACACTAGTCAGTGAGAATATTAGCCATGTGCTTTGCTCATATTTTCACCTTTCTGAAAAATAACATGTGAATGGGGTAAATTATGCAGAGAAGAAGATACTGTTACTGTCGTGAATATAGAAGCGTCTGTTTTTCACTTTTGTACTGCATAAGTATATTTTGGATTGTATAAATAAATCTCTGTGGAAAATTACTGATTTCTACGTGTCAAGATGATCTCTGACAAAAGCGTTGTTCTTACGCCAAAATGTCTCTAACAGACATATGAGAGCTAATGTGGATGTAACAGGAAATAATCTGCTTCTTATATCAGAATGAAATCAACACTTCAGAGACACGGCTTTCTTAAAAAAGGAATTGTAAAACTACACGACACATGGGAATTCTCCCCCACGAAACTGTTATGATTAGGAAGACGTTTTTTAATTAGCGAACATTAATTAAATCATTCAATAAACTCTCAGTAAAACTTTAAAAAACAGTTAAAACAAGGTTTCTGTGGAATTTAAATAGTTTTATAATAAATAACCCAGTCAAACGCGGTAATTCAGTTAGTCAAAGAAATTCCTAGCATATACAGTCTAGAAATTCATAAATTCGATACAATAGGGGAATTTAACGAGATAATAAATGTGTCCTCGAATTCCATGACTGGGCGATAAAGCAAGCATTCAGTGTGAGAATACTTTTCAGCAGTGCAGCAGTACTAGCATCCAGTAAGCTCATGTGTTAATTACTATATAGTGGAAATGGATGACCATCTCACATACATGCCAATAATCGCTTGTTCGAACTCATTCGTAAATTTACAAGATACATAAAAACTGGAGAATTTTGAAGCCATCTAAAGAATAAAATACTGGCAATTTATGATACGCGCATACATTTATGAATGCAAATTAAACTGCCTTTGAATTCATTTTTATGGTGAGAAATTTAACACCTTTATGCAGCACATTCTGAAGTACTTTTGAATTTCTCATTACTGAACTTCCTTAGATTGAAGCACTCGCTCTTAGCATGGATATCAGCTTCTAGTACGAATGTTTCAAAGATTTTCTTGACTGAATTAATTTCAGTCCCATAAAACAGGAACATTCTTGCGCATGGACTTTTATTCCTTGGTTTTGAAATTTCACATCCACAACTCTGAGAGCAGTAGACATGAAAAGATTAGCTGTCTTCGATCATAGGTGGCTGTGTTCTATCTCCTGCGTGAAGTGGTATAATAAGGTGAGCAGTATTGAGGTTAGGCCTCGAGTGCTAGGTAAGGCGAGGAAATCAATCGACGAAACTGTGAAATCACTTCGACTGAGATGGTTAGGACATGTGCTACGTATGCCTAGTCATCGCCTTCCTCGACAATGGGCAATGTTAGCTGATATAGGGCCAGGCTGGAAAAGAGCTAGCGGTGGTCAAACGAAAACATGGCACTAGTCAATGAAATCCACAACAGTTAGTCTAAGCCACGTAGGAAGATGTAGACTTCCTGGTTGGGGTCCTCGGGACGGTAAAAACCAATGGTTGGAAACAATTGGTGACATGGCTCAAAATCGTTCTCAGTGGCTCAGATGCATCCACTCCTTGTGAGTCATGATTTCCAATGCAACTGTTTTGTTCTTCGTTATTACTATTCCTTTGTCTCACACCTCTGTTTACTGTATATATTATGCATTTCTTCTACTTTCTTTTCTTGCTTTGTGTGCTACATGGAATGTGGCGACTTGAACTGCCGCACATATGTGCAAAGTTCTATGTCGAAAACCGACCGACCGACCGATCTGATTTTACATCTGTTATCCATTTTTGTGACAGGTTTGATCAGCAGTTGACGTCATTCAGAGAACCGTTGGAAAACCCAGGAGCACTGGACAGGTATTCCGTCATAGTATGGAACTCTTCACCAGAGTTGGAACCCAGAACCTTCCTGCCACAAGGTGAACTCGTAGACCATTCAGCCAGTAGGACCCGATTCCATGGCCAGCCCATGAATTCCAACTTCTGTCAATTCGCGATATGTACAGTCACCACATATCAAACAAAACTGCCTTTTTATCAACTATCCTCTACTTTTGAAATTATAAATCGTTTTATCTTAAAGCGCTTATTTTTACACTCACATACTCTCATTGTTTGCTTCAAAGTTACCCGATTGGCTCTCGTTTTGATTTGTCCTCGCTATGTTTATCATTTCATTCCATCATAAAATATCAAATAGGCGTCACTGTGTATTTCTATCAAATAAAATAATCTTTTACTGGAAATATGCTCTACCACAGTGCCCAAATTCTATTTATTATACAAAATGCATTTTTTCTTTTCGTGATCAAATAAATCATCTTTTTGAATACTCGTATAATAAAATCATTGTACTTTAATTTATTGTTATTATTATTATTGTTATAAAATCTAAATCTCTTCCTATAGTTCTATAGAACATTTAAGTATATTTTATCTTGCGTTCACATAATATTTCATTTTAAGGTTAATGATGAATTAAAGGTCGAATAGTTATTTTAGTAAATATGTACACGTTAAAATAAATCCAAGAGTATTGTTAGTTGTAACGTTAATTATAGCATTGTAATGAGTTTAAATCAATAAATGCTTAGGTCAAAGAAATATATATTTAAATGGCAGTTGACTGATATGAAAGGAGAAAGTATGAGGAAAGACTCTATTCTCTTTTAGATAATTTTACTGGATAACTTAATTGTGTTGTTGTTTTTCTATAGTTTAATGAGACAGCTGGAAATCACTCTTGATGTCTGCAGTTGAATGGTGAATTGGTTAACATCTCGGTCTCGTAGCTCCTCCAGCAGAAAACAGATAACTAAGCTACAAGCCTCTAGTTCAGATGCTGCCTCGACCCGGACTTCTGTTTCACCACCTATCACACCGATATTAATTTGCCAGTCCAAAAGTCATAGCAAATACTCTAACCTTTAAATATATCCAAGGACGATAAAGACAGAATTTCACATTAGTCTTCAGAAAAATGAACCTTTAATTTACATTTTAATTCATCTGAATGTAGACTACTTTTGTGTTTTCTGACTGATTTCAGAATGAAGTTTATCTAAAATAAGTTAGGAAATCACTGAAGACTACTCCAAACTTGATAGCCATCTCGTCTACGCAGCAGTGCGTACCTGCAGCTTCACCGAAAATTGAATTAAGGACGGCAAAACTACATACCCACTTTTGTACCTTCCAGGCTTCTGTGTTATAGTTCCTAAGGGGGAATAAATATTTACAGAGTGCAATTAGGAGACATCTTGTGGAAAAGAGAGTTTTTTGAGATTTCCATATCCTTCAAAATACTAAATATGTAAACGACATCAAAACTTACTATGATTTGAGGAAGTAACTGCTGTCAAACTTTTCCAGCTGAAGTTGTGCATGCATAGAGAGAAAGAGAGAGTACGTTAAATCTTTTACTACCTTGATAACTGCCTTCTGATTTCGATTACACTGATTGTATATTCATCCGTATTAATGATTTCAGCTCACTCAGCTAATTTCAGTCTTATCAACTATGATTTCGCTCGCTCTGCTGTGTAGCTTTATACGCTTACACTGTTTTTCCCCTATTTTCTGTAATCTCTCCACCCCGTCATTTTCTACTTTGAAATGTATATAAACTGATGATGACTTGAACCAAAACGACTGTGATGCTTACATTTTGAATACCTATGTTTTTAACACTTTCCCTGCTATCATTTCTACATTAAAGTATGTTATTCTCGTTTTCTCGTAACCAGTGTAATTTCAGGTAGTCTGAAGCTGATGGGAACCTGTGAAATAAAACTACATCACTTTAAAATCTAATTTTGGTCCTTCTTGCTTTATCGGAATTCGTCAAATGAATCACGTATAATAAGACTTGTAATCAGTTCAAAGTTGCACACTGGTGATAGCATGAAGCTTGAAATTCTCCATATGAACATTGGTAAAGTGATTTAAAAATTCCAGTTCACACATTTTTAGAAAAGCATATTTAGGTAAGAAATATATTATTTTTTAATCAGTTCCTCAACAACGTCTCTATACAATTTCAAAATAAAATCGCGTGGTGATATGCTAACCAATGAGAAATATCAATTTTAAGGTCTAGGAGAGGTGAAAATGAGTAATTACGAAAATGACTACCAGCTACTACATAGTTACTAGTTTGCAAGACAGTGATAAGTCTACAATACCAACATACGAATACGTCATTTGGGTTAGCTAAAATAGCACTCATAATACAATAACAACATCAAATGACACTTGCAATGATAGGGGAAAGTCATTTGTCGAACTCTGTACTTATTATATAGACGACCATGGCAAAGAAAGCGACTGCACGAATTTCCTCTGAACACACACATTTGACTTGTGCAGATCAGCTTCAATCACTTTATGTAAAAATCAGACTCGCAGAGCATGCGGAAGGTCGGATGAAGTCTGAACTTTAAAACCACTGTTAATGTCGACTAGATATCGTGTGACGACTCGGTTAGCTGATAGTGTGCTACATGCAGATTTATTTGGTGTTGTTTGAAAATCCGGCGATTAATTCACCTGACTGCACTCTCTATGTAATGACCACCATAAGAGCGGTCAAACTGATGAAATACGCATTGCAGAGACTGGCCCGTGAATACGCCGTATAACCTAGCTGATTTAAAAGCCCTTCTGAAGACTTTATTCAAATGTAAGGCTGCCAACATCTCCTGTGAACTGCCGGTAACTGTTAGAAAGCGTAGGAATTAATACGTCTATTAATAATTAAAAAAGAAAAAGTGTCTTAGAATTAATCAAATAAATATTCACTCCTCTGACAGTTTTTAGACTTCATTCAACTTTATAGTATCAGTAATGCACATTACAGGATCTGACGAGTACTTTCAATAGAGGTGGAAATTTATTGAGAGTTATTCATCTCTAAGTTGAACTAAAATTTACCAATCTTTCAGCTATTACTGCGACAACCCCAACTTTTTTGTTAACAAATTTCACAGCTTGAAGTGGAAATTCACCAAGGTTTTGTTTGTAAGTCCAAACCGTTCAGATAACATTGTGTGATTAGCCTGATATTATAGATGGCAATCAAGTAGTCGAGTACCGCTGATATGCACCGCCGTGATCTAGAGAAATAATCATCCGGTTTATAGATCACTTCAACCTGGTTACCAAGCGCTTATGGTTCACATGAGTGGTACCTAACAACCACTCAGTCAGTAGTACATATATATATCAGCCTACTTAGCTATGTTCCTAGTCAGCACTACGAAAAGACATAAAACTAGGAGTTAGGAGGCGTTTGTAGGCGGATAAAGAATATTCATGGGATATTCACTTATTGTTATCAGTTATTTGATCTCAGTTATATTACCTAAATCTGTATCGCTATTAAGTCCTGCTGTTGTGACCTGAACTAAAGAAACCTTGTAGAATAAAACTATTCTTCTTCCAATACCGTTCAGAAGTATCACCATTTTGGTATGTTTGTTTTTAACCATTAAGCATGAGTGCAGTCCAACTTTTGGGTAGGTGCTTTTATGTCTTTTGTAAAAAAAAAACAAGCCAAACTGTAGTTCGAGTACAATCACTAAAGAACTCCACTAACAAATGAGTCGTTTGCTCAAATGAGTGATACTATGAGATATTGCGTGACTGAAATTATTTTGTGTTCAGGGAAGTGCTACTTAGGTAACCAACTGAAAATAGCTGAATGAATATACGACAATATTATGAACATATCACACTTACCTTTTATATAACACTTGGTACTTCTTTTCGTGCTATCACTGGGGTATATTCATCCCTAAATCCCTTTAGAATATATATAGGAATACTTCAGCTGATGTCGTTGTTAATGGAACTCAGCGTTTGAGAGTCATCAAAATACAGTGGATAAAAATACAAATGTATGTGCATAAATATGACACTAGCACAAATGTATCTGGTGTTTGCTGACAGGCTTCCCGACAACTTTCAGATACTTCCTTTATATTTCAACTTAATTATACCTTTATCTACCTTTATTTTTATACATTACTATCTTATCAGGTCGCATATATAACTCCTGCAAACAACAAAACAATCAAAGAATAAAAAATGCATAAATTAGATTTCATGGAGTTTTAATGGATATACTGAAGATCGTTCATTCATTGATATTTGCAATGTATGATAGCTTTTGAAGTTACCTATTATCATTTGTCGGAATTATTATTTTGAATTCCCCGTTGATTGATTAGACTTGGCCTGAATACTTGGTTACTGTTGATATACACGCTTCTAGTACGCGTATTTAACGAGAAGGATGTGTTTCTCAAGGCCTAGGCATTTGAAACTATAGGTTCTGGGAACATGACTCACTGGGATTTAGGTATATCCAGACAACGATTCCCGAACAGGTCGAAACGTACGTCCTCGATTCCACTGTTAGTCACTATCTACCTACGAGTAATCAGTATATAAGAGTCTTGACGCTGACGCTAATTAGTTAAGAATATTGAAAGATTCAGATTTACATCATTCAGTCTTTAAGTTTAGTAGAAGGGAAGTCTAATTTATTTATTTATTTTGAAATGGTTTCTGGTATCTAATCCTGGACTAAGTGGATGAAGAGTAGTTTACCGCTGAAATCATCGATTAACTTTTAAGTGCCATAAAGTGTCAACAGTTACACCAGTAATAGCCTAATATGCAATATGTACACAAAAAGGCATTATTTTTTTCCTAAGGTTTGCTGGTGAATGTGCTATTTTAAAAAGCAAAGGAATTCCGTAAATGTTAACCATTAGATTTAAGCTTAGTAAGTGGATAATAATACGTTCACCAATAACAAGGGGCGCAATCAAATATGGAGTCACTGGTATTCAATGCTAGAG